CTGGACACTCACATAATTTCTATAGCCCAACATGGATATTCACCATTGTACACATATTATCTTGACCCAAACGAATATAATATGTGGCCCCGATAATATCGGGCGGCCCCCACGCGAATTTTACTATTCACGTAAAAGAAATGATGAAAATTTTTACAATCGCGTAGAATGCGTTTATTCATTTCTCAGGGTTCAATACACTATTTGATAAAGTATAAATACTTCGGGGCGGTGTTACACAAATCCTATTAGATTCCTAGTCTTGAAGGGTTAGAATAGGCGGTAGCATAGAAGCATAAATACACAAAAAGTATATAAAAACAAAAGAATGGATTATCGCTCTATTTTAAAGAATGAAAAACAAAATAGAAATTGTAGAGGTACCTTTGATGGTCGAACCTGGTAGCCCCCAATCGTCCTCGTAGAAGAAAAACGAACTTGGAAGCTAGAACTAATTCAAGAATTGTAGGAGCCATATGTAGAAGTGGCACTCATCATCGGAAGGATTGGTGAGATTATGTTTGATTTTTGGGGTGAAAGATAATTATTTCTCACTTCCAGGAATACCTCTTGGAATTGGTTGATGCTCTGCTATTTTACTCTAGGGTTGGGAGTTGGGACTTCATAATCTCCGTATAAAGCATTTGAAAAGGAAAGAAAGAAAGAAAAACTCACTCTCTGTGCTTTGTCAAATAAAAGGCTGATGTTTTTTTCACGTTAAAGGGAGTGAACAGGGATTTTAACGTCTTTTTAAACGCCTAGTGCCTATGCGAGTCTTTTGGGGGACGCTTCACGCATTCGCACGCCTAGGCGCCACCTTATGAAGCATTTTAGAACACTGTCTGGATGTGATGTCCTTGTTCTGAACTGAAATTTATTATGTATTGCATATAATTGAAGCGTTTCCTTGAAATTAAATGTTCTTTTGTCGGATACAGCCCGTTAATTCTCAAGGTCATGTCCATGTCATCTACAAAACTGTTCCCGCCATCGATCATCTATGAAATAAGAGGCATGCTTGTCCATGTCACTTCTTCATACAATACCTCATTTCCTCCTCTTGAATTTTCATATTCCAATTGCAGTGGAACAAAGACTTCTCCAGCTGGACCATTTAAATCAAACTCACTGTTACTTATTGCATTCCTTGACTCATCAAGTCAATCCAAATTCTCTCCAACTTCATTGTCTTCCTTCCTTATTTGCACACACAATGGATATGTTGTGACATCATATTTTTTTGTTTCTTTGAACTTCATATAAAATTTAAGACATTGGTCACTATCTATTGTTGTCGAGTGGAAAGCTTTGTCAATCTGGTAAGATATGGCTTTGATATCCACATCATTACCAATGTTTAACATCTCTCGTAGTCCAAACAACAAATTACTATATGATCCATCAGCTTCAAGCAAAAGTCCATGAGTAGAGTGTGCTAAAACCCTCTTTTCTGTATTCCACCTTCCGTCAAATAGAACGGTCACCTTAAGCTGTTCCATACCTGTTTTGTTGAAGAATACATTACTAAAAATAGAACAAAAAAATGAAACACATGTCATAGTCACTGAACAAGTTGTGTCCTTGTGTGTACTCATGGATTCAATTACTACCAACACATAGTGACTCACAAAACAAGATCTTTAAAATGCTACAAAGTGATTACTAATGCAAACCTACAGATCAGATCATCACTACCAATACATACTACTTCAGTTACTAAGTGTACATAATAACTAAGTGACTACTTGTACTCACAAATTTATTGACTAGATGTACATATTAACTAAGTCATTACTTCTACAACTGATTTAGTGATTACATTTGCTTACTATTGTAGTGACTAGCACACAAACTCATTGTAGTACTCAAAGTCACTGCCAAATCACACTACTTTATTGAATTTGATCACAAATGTGTTTTTGGAATCATAATGACTACAACACAGAACTACTACAGTGACTATCACACCAAATTACTACAGTTACTATGCCATGTACACGTTCAAATTCACAAAGTCATATTCACAATGTAACTACTAGCTAATTAACACTCCATCTCTTTTTCCTACTTACACGGTCGATACTACAGTCACTACTCTCCTTACTTTCATAACCACAACTTTCCTTGTACATTGACTGTTTTGTCTTAAAATTTAATCAAGACTATCTTTACATGTATCACTAAAATCCATATATTCTCGGAACAATTAGTTACTATATCAAACTAGTCATCACTCACACTGTTATTACTCTTCAAATTTCTCCCCCTTCACATCATTCTCCTTCCACCGATACATATATAAAACCTAATCATACCTCTGATCGCGAACAAACGTGTGTCAGTAACTATGTCCGTGAATCTCCGTCGAATTCGCGATCCCCTCTAGCGTCTTCAACGTGTATCTCCGTCGAATTCGCGATCCCCTCTAGCGTCTTCAACGTGTATCTCAGTCGAATTCGCGATCCTCTTCAACTTCTTCAGCCATGGAGTCTTCCGGACGCAGTCAATGAAGCTATGGATCACATAACTGATTTTCCCTCAGCTTTTGGGGTTTTAGAAGTTGTTCTCTTCGTCTGATCTGATTGTTTCTGATCTGATCTGAATTTTTCTGATCTGAATCTTTCTAATCTGATCTGAATCTTTTTTATCTGAACTGAATCTTTCTGATCTGGTCTGATCTAATCTGAATCTTTCCGATCTGAATCCTTCTGATCTGATCTGAATCTTTCTGATCTGATTTGAATATTTCTTTAATTATAATTATAATTGTAATTATAAAGATAATTTAAATATAATTTATAATTATAGTCATAATTCTAAAAAAAATTAATTATAATTATAATTAAAGTTATACAAAATTATACCTACTACACTGATTATAATTATAGCTATAATTATAATTATGATTACTCTGTATAATAATAAAAATAAATAAAAAATAATGATGATGATGATGATAATAACAACAACAACAATAACAATAATAATTATAATAATATGGAGTAATAATAATAATAATAATAATAATCACCTAAAAAATAATCATAATATTAATAATAATAATAATTATTGTTATTATTATTATTATTATTATTATTATTATTTTATAATAATAAAAGTGATAAATCATGTTTGAAATTTTCTGATCTGATCTGATCTGAATGCTTCTGATCTGATCTGAATCTTTCCGATCTGGTCTGAATGATTCTGATTTGATCTGATCTGAATCTTTCTGATCTGATCTGATCTGAATTTTTCTGATCTGATATGATCTGAATAAAGTAAGAATAAGCAATAAGTAATAAGAATGAGATGAACAGAACAACTTCTTAGTGACGTGTCGCAACCAACGTATCTGATATAACCAGTTGTTAAAATCGAATCCAAAAAGGAAGTTATTTCCTTTCGAAAAGCCAGACTACCATACGCTAAAGTCATATTTTTGGAATTTTCTATTTAAAGTCACTTTTAGGTCAAATACGGCCCAATTAGTAATATTGGTAAAAAAAGGCCTTTTTAAAGGGCTATGAGCAGTCAACTACTACAACACCCAAGCCTTAGTTCTAATGTTTTTGGGGCCGACGGGCTATTGGTAGCAAAATAAACCAAACTGGAGAAAACACGAAAAGTCCTCACAAAGAATGTTGCTACCATGAAAGCTCATAATGAAGACACAGCCAGATTGAAGCATTCATTGGGAACCTCCATTCTCAATTCGCTAAGCTTGATTTTATATTCAAAGATCAAAACCGAAAGCTCAATCAATGAATTTTCAACTTTGAACAATACACCAAAAGCTCCATCCTCAAGCTTGCAGTACAAATTGGGCATCTTGCTCAAGAGAGGAGCACAAGGGAATGAAGAGGTTCCCTACCATGATGAAAGTAATTCACGGGAGAGCGTCATAGCCATCACTTTAAGAAGTGGATGGTGAACTGAAAGCCCAAAGCAGTTAGAGATGGTACCTTAGGCCAAGGAAAGAAAAACAACGGTGACAAAAGCCCTAGGACACCATTTTTCCTAACTATGTTCTGTCAAACCCTTACCATCAAAGATATAAGAAAAAAAAGGGTCATAATGAAAATTGCGAAAGTTTTTGGCAGTTCTTTAGAAACATGAAATCAGCATGCTATTTAATTGCTAAGCCATTTTTTTAATTCCATATGATTTCAAATTTCTAATGAGCATACTATTGAATAAGAAGAAACTCAAAGAGTAAGTCATTGTGCCACTTATGGGGAAGTGGAACATCATCATTCAAAATAAGCTACCACAAAAAATTAAAGACCTTATGAGTGCCACCATTCCATGCTTAATTGACAAGGCAAGATAAATTAAGCTAAATCACTATGTGATTTATGAGAGAGCATCAACCCTTACCTCTCTGTACTAATTAAGTTGATATGCATGTGTTTTAATAGTGTGGTTCACTCTATGTTTGGTTCAAATTACGCCGTCACTTTGTGTGTTATAGGATCACATTTTGAATTCATTAGTGTTTGATTTTGTTGAGCATATTGTGGGTCTATATTACCTCAAATAAATACTTATTATTGCAAATAACCATACAATCAAGGAGATCTGATTTTCAACCCCTCATATAGCCCATGAAATCCGTTGATAAACCCCATATCATTCGCAGAGGTAGTTTTTCAAAGTTCCTTGTGGTGTTATTTCTACATTGTTATTTTTAAGCTAAAATTAATCCACAATTTTAACTCACTTGTCATATACTTCGAAGATTTTACTTTGACCCCCAATACTCAAATTAGTATCATGAGATGTTTGATTTCTTTCGAGAACAGCAATAAGATTTAGTCGTGTGCTTAGCCTTGTTCTTTAGGCCTAACGATAGGTGTGTGTACGTTGTCCAACAGATAGCCCAAGTTGGACCTTTGTTATGATTAGTGTGTGTAGGCCGGATGATCATGTATCTTTATGTAGTGTCTCGAGTCTTTGTCCATCCTCATGACTTACAGTTTAGTGTGTTTGTGTCATTGTGTGTGTGTGTTTAATGGAAACTGGCATATTATATTGAATTCAAACTCACAGTACAATCACGAAAGTTGTAAACAAAATAACTCCCGCTAACCCAATAAGACCAAAAGCTCAGTGGCCCCCTCACCCTTAGATCAGACATAGAATAGTCCACCCCAAAAAGAGCGAGACTAATCGCTGAAAAAGTGAGAGCTTCGAGGCTATTAACGGCCGAATCATAGTAATCTAACAACTAAAACATAGTAAAACAGTTTGGGCTGAAAATAACAAAAATAGAAAAAGTAGAACATTCTTCCAAACCCTAGCCGCACAGTTCCTCCATGGCGGCGGTTCGGGAGGGGGACAAATCATCATCTCCTCATCTTCTTCCTCCATCACCCGAATTTGGAATTCTTCATACCACAAGATCTGTCTATCCTTTGCGAGCAACAAATAACCCCAAGCCAGATCCCAAACCTCCATTATTCCACCCGGATCAAACACCTTTGGAGCTGCTTCCATCTCAATAAACAACAAAGTCAGAATAGTCAACCCCAACATCGGAAAATCAAACACCGTTGGAGCTGCTTCCCCCGCAATCGTTGGCCGCTATTGACATCCCAAGAACTCCCAACAACATATTCTGTTGTTAGACGACTAGCCTTGGACGAACTAGCCTATAAATCACACGCCGGTCTAGCCTCGCCGCCGTCTGCGTCCAATTGGATCTGCTCAACCGTTTGTATCACAGACCAAAACAAAACCCTGTCTCCTTCCTGAGCCCAAGCCGTCGAAGCACCTTCCTCAGATGCTCGCCGATTGATCCTCGCCGCACTGTTTCTCTTCTCCGCAAAGCTGTTCAAAGCTTACGCCGCCTAAAAACCCTAGGCCCATCCGCTTGCATTTGTGTGTGTGTGTATAAGTGATAGATTAAATGTATAAATAAATATGAGTATATTCTAACATATTTTATGTCGAACTCTATTATGATCCGCTTAGTTTTGTTAAGATTTGTATAAATAAGCTTTAAGCCATTTATTTATTCAAGTATGCCATGTTATGGATCATGTGAGTATTTAATAAAATCTAAGTATGTGTAGGCATGATAGTTGATATATATGACTGACTTATGTGATACTCCGTATTATTTATTTATGCTCAGTTTATGTGAATTGATTGTTCCCTGATTCACATATGATTTCGTGCCAATTTTCATTGAGCATGCGATTATTTTTTCTGCACGTAGTGAATGTTAGCTAGTAGAAGTCAGGCATAAAATAATTTATGTAACACCCTGGCCCTGCAGGACCAGGGTTAGTTACTCCAGACTTCTAGTACTGCACTTACAAACCATCACAAGCCTTTATCGCACACTTTGTCCTCACTCATGCGCACCATGAGAAACTTCCCAAGGCCAGGGGTCACCTATCCCAAGACTACTCTCGTGTATGCAAACACGCTTAACTTAGAGTTATTAGGTGATGAGCTCTCTTAAAAGGAGATGCATTTCTGTTGAGTATTACAGTTTATAATTCTTCTATTTGATGTTACAGTTTGGAAAATTATTTTTTAATTAAACAAATATAATTCTTTTATTCTATATCGAGTTATTTACCCTATTTGGAATCCAAAATCCGCTAATGTGGATCTCATTTGCAATTTTGTTTGGGTTAACCAAAACCATCTTGATCAGGTGGGTGTTACAAGATGAACAAGGAGGATAAGGAGAATTGTTACTAATGGCTTATCATTCACTTCCCATCATTTCAGTAAATTCGGTAGTCGTGACTCACAAAAGGATAGATGCGTTGGAGGTTTGTAGGTCGTCAGTGACGGCACCGCTATGGCTATTTTTGTCATTGTCATTAAGAGACGTGAGAAAATGACTAGATCGAAAGAGGATAACATAAAAGTACTCGGCGGTGCTGATAAGATTATTGATGACATATTTATTTATTTATTTATTTATTTATTTATTTATTTATTTATTTATTTATTTATTTATTTATTTATTTATTTATTTATTTATTTATTTATTTATTTATTTATTTATTTATTTATTTATTTATTTATTTATTTATTTATTTATTTATTTATTTATTTATTTATTTATTTATTTATTTATTTATTTATTTATTTATTTATTTATTTATTTATTTATTTATTTATTTATTTATTTATTTATTTATTTATTTATTTATTTATTTATTTATTTATTTATTTATTTATTTATTTATTTATTTATTTATTTATTTATTTATTTAATGGTTTTCTTTAAATGTTTTTAAGCAAGTGCTCCCTACAAAACTTGGTCAAATTGACTTTGCTAGGTAACTGCTAATAAACTTTGGACAATAATTTTAGTTATATATATATTTGAGTGAAATTTAAAACTTTTATGCATTTATGAAATTGTTTCTACAAAGAACATTTCCATTTAATTTTCATATTTTAAATACTTTTATGTAAAAGTATTATTTTTCAAACTTGACGATCAATGAAAAGTCACAAGATCAAATTTTGTAAGATGAAGGGGCTAGATTATTATTTTGGGGAAAATTTAAGGAAACACAATGGGATACAGACCTGACGTTTTTTAGATCTCATTTTAAAACTACTCCAGCTATCATAATAGTATAGTCCGTGCTATTTTGGGAAATTATTAAAATGATGATATAGTTTTTTTAGGAAATGATTATATTATTTCTATTAGTTTTTAGGAAATGATTATATTATTTTTATTTGTTTGTGGTATTGTCTCACTCCTTTTAAACCATATCTTAAGCATACAATTATGCATTTATGTTAAACCAAAATTTGAAAAAGTTCGATTATAGAAAGAATGATATTTATATTACTAATAACAAAATTTCACTAGACAAAAATAAGACTAGTTATGTTTTTAGATAAAAATATGACTAGCCAGTATGTACGAGTAGCTAAACAAGAGTCATTATAGTATATTTTAGAGTGAAAGGTCTATGATAGACGATAAGTCATTTTTTATAGACATAGACGATAAGTCATTAAAAACTAATCTTTGTATGTTTATGTTTGTATGTCGCATTTCTGAGTTTTTTTAAATAATTCATATTTATGTCCTTTGAATTCAATTTAATAATATTATATTAATTAATGAAAAAACACCTTTTTATATCACTTTTAGTATTAATTATATTGTTTTTTATGGTATTAATTCCTTAGTACTCCGTATTTGATTAGTATAAATGCAATTATTGAATTATACAACGGAAAATACTTTACTCACATTAATTTAAATTTTATTTGAGATCTTTATGTTCTCCGGTTATGATCCATTATAACTTATTGATCATAACTTAAAATCATAAGTAAAATCCGCTTATCAAATAACCGGCATTACTTATGTTATGTTATCGGCATAATTTGCTAAACATAAAACGTTAGGCGAAGGGCGTAACCCTCCTTTGCACAAAATATCTCTGAAATGGTATTTAGTTCGTATTTTCCTTAAAGGGAAGAAAGCAAGAAGGAAGAATAATTAAAAAAGCTGATAAATTAATGTGAAACACGGAATCCTACATCCGATAATGTTTAGGAGAGTGAAACATAAAAATACATACAAATACATATATATTAAAATTTTATGGTAGATAATAATGGCCTTTTCTTTTATAAACTTAGATACTTTGTATTTTAAAGAAGGGGGATTTATCTAGATAAGACTAAAACATATGTCACATGTTCTAAAATAATTGTCTTGTTTACTTTAGCACATGTTTTAAGAAATGATTAAAAGTATAAATTATTGTTGTGATATGAGTAGAAAACATATGAATTGATATGAGTCGCATATTATTGTCAAAATATCAAACAAAACAACTATTTTAGGACATTCAAAAAAGTAAAATAAGACAAATATTTTGTGACGGATAGAATAGTGTTTTTACCAAACTAAGACCAACTAGTTCAAATGCCATTGTTCGAAAACTCGTTAGGTGCTAGTCGGACGGTTTAGGGGCACCTAGCATCTAAGCGGCCGACTAGGCCGATTTTTTAATCGACTAGTCCGATTTTCCGGCTGATTAGGCCAATTTTTTGGCCGACTAGGCTGATTAGTGCTCTATAGTTAGGGCGACTAGGCCGATTAATTGGTCTGACTAGGCCAATTTTTAGAATAGTGGACGTAGCTCACCTGGTAGGAAGAGAGTGTCACAAGGGAGAGATTCCGAATTAGACTCCAAGCAATGACTTGGGATGAAGCCTCACTCTTTTTTCATCAGAGTGAGATCAAACCTCAATGTACATTCTCCAAAATAACTGTCTGATCCGTTCTGAGAAACTCTCAGCGATGAAGTGTCATCCTTTTTGAGACACAAAGTCTAATCTTTGCCAAATGATGTCGATGTATAATAGGAGAAATAATTTAGTAATATCCAATTAATTAAGAGTTTCAAAAGAATGTACTCAGTATCTTTTTCGTCCACAACAGATTTTTTTAGTAATATTTAAAATAAAAATATGGAATTATATTAATTATTTCTCTTCTGGTCCAATATATTTAAAAATTAATTTAAAATGATCCGAAGTGGTCTGGTTTAGAAGGGAAAGAAAGAAATCCACCCAACCATAGCCTAATCATTCAACAACGAACGAAAAGCATATCTAACCTGATTTTCCTCCTTGAATAACTCGTCTAACGTGTAAATTAAGAGTGCAATTGTTGATTAAAAAGCTCCACTGAGTTCCTAAGACAGAATGGTTGGGTGGGCCAGGGGGGTGTGGGATCGCGTTCCCTAATCAGAGAGAGAGAGAGGTGTAAAGAAGACTTAAATGACAGCTAGCAGTGAGTGAAGGGAGATCCCAACCTACCATACCCCACACTCATCTTCCCTTTTTTAGCCCTTCTCTTCCTCATTCATACCCTCCATTCCCCTCTCCTCCATCTCAAACTCCATTTCTCCCCTTCCCTTCTCCTCCACTCTCCTCCTACACACTTCTAAGGTACTTTCTTCCTCAGCTTCAGATGGGTCTGGTTTGATTATTTGATTATCTGATTCCTGGGTTCTTTTTCTTCCTTGGAGTTCTTTCTGTTTAGGCTTTTCTTTCAGATTTTGGGATATTCTGCCCCTCTGCTCTGTTTCTGGTGTGTTTTGGGGACAGTTTTGGGGCAAAAGATTAGTTCTTTGACCTCTCATTTCATTTTTCTGGTTTTCCATGTGGATTTCTAGCTGTAAAGGCTGTTTCTTTTTCTATTTATCTCATTTTTCTGGCCTTCAAATTGAAAATTAAGCTACTTGCTCTGTTTCTTGAAAAGAGGATTTTTCAGAACATGTTTCGGACAAAAAAACAGTTTTTGGGTTGAAATGGGAAATATACGAGATTTAGAGCTCCTGAACCGTAATTATTGCACTCTTTGCAAGCAAAATTCGAAAAAATCGAAGGCCAGAAAAAAAAATCGAAATTCCCTTTATCCGGAAAATTATGGGTTTGCACCTAATTTTACAAATTATTAATTTTTACACTCTTACGAGTATTATTTATTACAGATATCTGTCCAAGGACTTTCGTAACGGCACGCTGCAGATATTTATTACTCCGTAATTGAGATATGGGGGTGTAAAATTAAATTTGAACAAAAGTGGGGTGCAAACCAAAATTTAACCTTTTCCCCTCTGCTCAGATACACTTCATTTGCAGGAATTTCCCTAAAAAAAGTATATATATATATAAATGTATATATTACTCCGTATAATTTTTATATATAAATAGAGAGAAGGCTCATGGTCAAATTCGATTTTGCGGATGGGATTCCATTCAAATCCAATTTCATATTTAATTACCGTTTAATCAATTCAATTATTATATGTTTTGCTCATTAATTTTACTCCGTAACTTTTATATTTCAAAAAAAAATTGTCAGATTTTAAAATTTTTGGGAAGATAAAGACTCTGAGCTATCTTCTCCGCTTTTTGGAGTGATATAATAGTTAAAATCAAAACTTTGAAGCAAAGAATTTAATATCTTGGACGAGAATTGAATACTTTCCCATTTACAGACGAAGTAAATCCGTTTCGGTTAAGAGTTTTTGGGGTTGGGATTTTTTCAAATACAGAGTATTTACTTTTCTTTCCCGTCGGTTAAAACTGATTGTTTTCATTTATGGCAGGTGAGAAGTTTTTGTAGGTAAAATGAATTCGAATTACGTTGACGAAATGGACTGCGGCAGCTTCTTTGATCACATTGATGACTTGATCGACTTTCCGCCGGAGAACGAGTGCGCCGGTTTGGGCTCCGGCGAGGGCGTTAATTTTCCGAGCATGTGGAAAGAGCCGTTGCCGGAGTCTGACCCTATTTTCTCCGGCACCGCCGCCAGTTCAGCTTCTGCTCTCTCCGCTGAGCTTTCTGTACCGGTGAGCTTAACTTTTCCGGTTGCCGCCCGCTTTATTGTTGAAATCATTTTATTTGAAGAAATTCCCTGAATATTATTTCTCGTATTGGGTCTGAATTGAACAAAAATATTAATTTTAAATTTTAAAGCATAAACATTTCTACAGCAATTAACATCAATAATAATTAAGGACTCTGTTTGGATTGACTGAAGTGGTTGGATTGACTAATTTATGAAAAAAAACAAATTTAAAATATACTACGTACTCTGTATTTATTCATAAAATATAGAAAAAAAAATAACTTTAATTTCACTTCACGTATTTTGAATATAAAACTATTCAGTCTGCGAAAACAAAAATTTCGTGCTCGATATAAACTGAAAAACATGGAGTGGGCTCTAATACTCCTTAACCAATCACTAATATGGAGTATAATAAGGTCATCAAATGGGAAAAAAATATATGGAAAAGTCGGAGCATTATGGTTTTTCCTTAATAATAAGATGTCAAGCAATCGAGCTTTAAAAATATCATTAATTTACATTTATACTATCATACCCGGAGTATTAATTTTTTGTAATAATGTCAAAATTTGATGATATATTTTCTGGATAAAGACCATTTACTCTTATTTTGGCAGAAAACATGATACTTATGTTCTGTATTTTAAATGAGACATTTTCAAATATATAATCTTATCAACATTTATGTCTTAAAATAAAACTGGTCATTTTTTCGTGTGAACATTTACAGAAATTTTTAGATAAGTTTAAGGCATTTTTTTTCAAAAGGATAAATTATGCTGTTAAGAAAATCAAACCGGCTATAGTGTTTGCATATGTAGCCATTTATGAATCATATGTTTCGTCTAATGGTTGGTTGGAAATTATGATGGTCGCATGTGGTATTGTCTCCCTCATAGTCACACCCCCACTACTTGTCCAAATTTAAATGTGGGGAGGCTTATAATATAATTACACCCACTCCCAAAATGTGTTTTTTTTTTTCATTTTTCTTGTAGGTCCTCAAAATGTTGTACCTAATTTCATTTTAACTTGTCCATTTTTTATTTAAATAAGTTTTTGAAAAGTAAATCTCAATGATGTAATTCTTCCTTTTCAAAAAAATAAAAAATAAAAAAGAAGAACTAATTGGAGTAGAGGGTGTATTCCTTATTGTCTAAGTATTCTTTCCATTTGTAGTTGTCAAAATTATTTTCATCTTTGACAGCATTGCAAGCCAACTCATTTTATAATAATTGTGTGGGTCCCCATATGAAAATTTAACGGTCGAAACAAAATCTCAAACTTTCAAATCATGTAAGAATTAAACTTACATAAACTGAATATAAAATAATTAATAGATATTTAAAATATGTACTACTATTGCTCTATTTCATTTCAGGATAAAACCCCAAGTCACAATATACTTATTTTATTTATCATTTCATCATTTCCCTCTTTCTTTGTAAGATTCCTATTGCTTTTCGTCCTTTTTAAAAGTTCAAATTTCCAAATTGTTAAACAATGATCAACTTCTGTATTTTTTTCTTTAAAATTGTGGCATACTTTGATATAAAAAAAAATTGAAACAGAGTACATTGTAATAAATACTTAGAACAACATAATTGTACTTTGGAAACAGTTTTTGTACTTAATTTGGATCAGTTGGTCCCCGGATGGGCCGTAGTTATACCAATGATTTCACCTATATAAGCAAACTTGTGGAGTAATGCATTTATATGGGGAAAGCTCCCGAAATAGGACTAAAACAGTTTGATAATTCCAAAATAGGACTGACATGTTTTTTATTCCCAAAATAGGAGTAATTACTATCAAGTTTGGAAAATATTGTCATGTTTGAAGTCTGGTACTGCCAAAACATGATAGTAATTTGTCCTATTTTGGGAATAAAAACATGACAGTCCTATTTTGAAATTTTCAAATCTTTTTAGTCCTATTTCGGGTAATATCTCATTTATATGCAATCAAAAAACCATTTTATATCAAGTAAAAGTTAATTTATACAGTGCTACAAGCATGATCTTATCAGAGGTTAAGTTTTGTCACATGTTTTAGTTCCATATAATACTCTGTAGTCTGTATGGGTAATACTTTTGCATGGTTTGAATTATCAAGTTGAGAATATGGTAAACTTCTTTTAGTTCTTTCCATTTAACACAAATAAACAATTTGTTCGTTTGGTCACGCTTTTATCCTAACGTGTTCTTCATTTTGTTTTCCAGTACGAGGATATCATACAGCTCGAATGGCTTTCAACGTTTGTGGAGGAGTCGTTCTCGGGGGGAGGACTCACCCTTGGCAAGGAAAACTGTCGCCTGAACCCTTATCTCCCTCCATCATCTCATGCTAATAACAAATTGCAGGCTGCCATCTCTAGTCCGATTTCGGTCCTTGAGAGCAGCAGCAGCACCAGTAGCAGCAGCTCCTCCTCCTCTAGCTCGGGAGGTATTATGGTAGCACCCCTGAGCCCGAACCAGCGTGGCCCGCAGCGTGCACGCAGTAAACGCCCCCGGCCTGTGTCATTTAACCCTCGGTCCGTGATGCAACTGATCGAGTCCCCACCACAACTCCAGAGTTTTGTGGGCCCAGAAGAGAAGAAGCTCCACTCTAAGCCACCCGCACCTGAGCAGCAGAAGAAGAAGAAAAGGAAGATTAAATTCTCCATGCCATCGGGATTGCCTCCTCAGCAGAAGGAGGATCGTGAGGCGGGGGTGAGAAAATGTATGCACTGTGAGATAACTAAGACACCCCAGTGGCGGGCGGGTCCCATGGGGCCGAAGACGCTATGCAATGCTTGTGGGGTCCGCTACAAGTCGGGAAGACTCTTCCCGGAGTACCGGCCTGCTGCTAGTCCTACGTTCGTTCCATCGGTGCATTCTAATTCTCACAAGAAGGTTGTCGAGATGAGGAACCGGTCACTGCCCGCTGTTGTGATCACTCCAACCATTGCCCAGCCCGAAGTCAAATGAAATCTAGCCGAAAAGAAGCAGAGCACAGTTTTCTTAGGCAGGAAATTTTCCTAGCTGCAGTTGAAAGTGTTGTTATTTGGTGTTTAAGGTTGTCCCATATTTCATTGGTTCATTGTACAGAACTGTTTGAGGGTAGAGAAACATTACTAGCTTTTATTGCCATATCTTAGCGAAAATTGAAAAGGAAAGGATTTAGGGGATAGGAAACAGTTCTTTTTTTTTTTTTTTTTTTAAATCTAGTGTTTGTTTAGGTCTTTGAAGGATTGCGAGTAATAGGTTGTGTCAGTCTCAATTCTTTTGTTAGACTATGCTTATCTTTGATTTTTTTTCATCTTTTGTCTTGGTTTTCTTGTGTAGAATATGTTCTTTGTTTTGTACCAATGTTACCGGGAATTATTTTTTGCAGTTATGAATCTGTTATTAGAAAATTCTTAAATTGTTTATGGACCAAATTTGGAATCGAGTCTCATTTCTGACTCGTGATTTGCAAATTGAATTATCATTTGGTTGATAATTGATATTAATAGGGGAAATTCTATTTAGAGAAATCTATTTTCTGAACACCATTGTGAGACCACTCTCTCTCTCTAGGCGAGAACTTCTCTCTCTAGGCGGCCGTCTCCCATAGGGTTAGGGGTTGTTTTTCTCCGCTTTCGTCTTCGACAAAGTGCGGCTTTCTTGTGCAGCTTTCGTCCGCCTTTCGTAAATCGTGAGACTCTCTTCTTTGGCAGACCGCAACGCCTATATGGCGGCCAAAGGTTGAGTACCCCTAGCAGTAGGTGAAGAGTTTTGAAGCCGTTCATGGTTGAGATCAGAAGGTCATTGACAAAGCGTGAGGCTAGGGGCTGAAACAGATCTAGACCGGAGACAAGGAGCGGAAGATGCTACAATACTGTTGGACCGTCCTCCTCCTGAACCGCCGCCATGGAGTGCAAGAGAGTTAAGGGTTTGGAAGCAGAATTTTAATTTTAATGTTTGCTTGCTTTTTTTTCATGATCATACTTTTTTTTTGTCGGTTACTTTTATTGTTGTAAGACTCTTGCATTAGGATTGAGTGATGAGAAGTCTGTTTTAACCGACGTCGGCTCATTTGTGCCCATTATAGGATCAACGAGTTATATTTTCTGTGGTCCTTTTGTTGTTTTACCCCCTATCTGAATGTTGTGATTTGAATTTAAGCCATCTGTTTTGACGATAAAAAAACAGATGTACATATAACGCCACCTAAGTTGAGCCTGTGAGTTTGAACACTTCGTGTCTTTTTTCAAAAAAGTCTTTTGCACACATTATTACTATTTACACACTTTTACATATAGACAAAACATGTTTTGTCCGTGACAGACAAAAAACTTTTACAAACAGTACATACAAGTGTGTAAACAGTAAAATTAAAATCATAAGATGTTTGATTTCTTACAAGAATAGCAATAAGATTAAGTTGTGTGCTCAGCCTTGTTCTTTAGGCCCAAGGATAGGTGTGTGTAGTCCAACGGATAGCCCAAGTTGGACCTCTGTTATGATTAATGCATGTAAGCCCGATGATCATGTATCCTTATGTTATGTCTCGAGTCTTTGTCTATCCTCATGACTTATGGTGTAGTATACAATTGATAGATGAAATGTCTAAATAAATATGAGTATATTCTAATATCTTTTACGCTCAACTATATTATGATCCGCTTAGTTTTTTTTTTTTTTGCAAGTAAAAGAGTTAACTTACATTAATCAAATCATTGTCAAGAATGCAAGAAATAAACGAAGGAGGATCATAAAACCAAGAACGTGAATCAGGCATAGAATAAGCAGCCTTAGCAATGGTGAGACCTAACTTATTCCCTGACCGCCTAATAAAATAGAACGAGATATTAGCAAATTTATTTGCTAGAACTCTTATGTCTTCTGCAATCAAACCAATGGAGGAACAACTTTCACCTTGATGTTCTGCCAGTTTGTCCCCTGGATCCAGCTTAAAGCTTCTCTAATCCCAATCAGTGTTGCCTCCAAAGAAGAAATCATTCCAGTCCACGGCTTAGCCATTCCAGCTACGAAGCTACCCTCCTCGTCGCGCAATCACCAGACCAAGCCGCAACGATCCGACCGAATTGCAGAATCCACATTCAACTTGAGTCTACTCGAAGTTGGTCTATGCCAAACAGGGGTAAGATGATCTGCAGCCGCTGCTCTCCTTCTTTTCTCTTGGGCCCATCCTGAAACAAAAGACTGAGCCCTGGACATAAAATCTTTAGCAGTTGAAGAAACATTCTGCCATACTCTTCTGTTTCTTTCGCGCCAGAGGGCCCACACCCCCAAACTAAGACTTCCAAATCTTCCCTTCTTCTTGACTGAAATTCAATCTTGAGCTGCTCCAGAAAGTGATTTCCTCCATAGCCGGCCCAGCTCCAAGAAATTGATCTCCACGCCTCTTGCGCAACCGAGCACGACCTGAAAATATGTAATAAGGATTCCCCGTCTTCGCCGCATAATCCACAGCTCGCTGGACAGTTCACTCTCCGAGATATGAGCATTTCTTTCGTTGGTAAACATTCGCTACAAACCAGCCAAAAAATTAGGAGGAATTTTCCAATTCCACATACCAGTTCACCCCATCCAACTGTCGGGATTAAGCTCTCCAACAAGACGTCGATAACAACTTCTGACCAAAAAACGGATGTCCTCGTCCCACCTCCGCTGCTAAGGGGAATCCTTTGAACTAGGATAGCATCCCCGCCTTCCAGGATATCATTGAGAATATCATCCTCCCAAGCTATGCCAGTTTCATCCATAAGATTCCTAACTACGGCCTCGTGTAAACCTTTCCCCCGCTATCGTAATAACTCTCGGGTTACTTGGGTCCGGCAGCTACGGTTCATCCCAAATGTTAATGGACCTGCCGTCCCCAACCCGCCACTTGTAACATTCCCGAATAATATTTTGTGTCTCGAATAAATTCCTCCAGACGAAAGAGGGATTATGACCAAGATTAGCTGTCAAAAAAGTCCCCCTCGGAAAGTATCTGGACTTAAAAACTCTTCCAACAAGGGAATCCGGATGATTAAAGAGACGTCACGCCTGTTTCGCCAACATGACTAAATTAAATTCATGGAGTCTCCTAAAACCCATACCACCAGCCTTCTTCGGAGTACTTAGCGAAGCCCAATCCTTCCACTGAATACCCGAGCCAGACTTAACTTTCTACCAATACCCATTCATTAAAACTTCAATTTCCCTACACAAATCATTAGGCAGAAGAAAAACATTCATTGCATAGGTAGGCATAGCTTGAATCACTGATTTCAACAAAACCTCACGACCCACTTTAGAGAGAAATTTATTATTCCAATTATGAATACGACTAACCACCCTCTGTTGGAGATAACCCAGGATTTCCTTTTTTCCCCTACTTGTCAGGGCCGGAAGGCCTAAGTACTTTTCATACGGCCCAGCCATTCCGACCCCCAAGAGGTCAATCAACCCCGCTCTACAATCCTGGTTCACGTTAGAGCTGAAAAAAATCCTGGATTTGTGAAAGTATATTACCTGACCCGATGATCTTGTAATACTTGAGATTTAATTTAAACGGATTAATAGTACTACTCATACCAACAGAGGTGCATCTCCTTTTAAGGAAGCTCGTCAATTAAAAACTCCAAATTTAAGCATGCTTACACGGGAGTAGTTTTGGGATGGGTAACCCCCTGAGAAGTTTCTCAGGACGCGTATGAGTGAGGACAAAGTGCACGATAAAGGCTCGTGGTGGTTTGTGGGGATAGTACTAGAGGTATGGAGTAACTACCTCGGGTCCAGCGAACTAGGTGTTACAGATCCGCTTAGTTTTAATCTGTTAACAGAACCGTCTAATGAATTTGGAGGCCCCGTTCCGAACGCAAAATCGAGGCCCTATTTTAATATTAAGAATTAAAAAAAATCAAACGAAATACTTATACTGAAATAATGTAAATACTCATCAAATATTGTAATAACAATTCTAAAAATCACTTAATAGTTGATTTAAAGCTACACAACTCATCACTCAATCAAGTAAAACATGAGTAAGAGTACCGACAAAAAACAATTATTTTATTGATTAGTATTTATTTATATTATTACTATGTAATACTAATATTTTTTTTGGAAATTTGGGCCCCAAAAATCGGGAGACCCTGTTCCGTAGAACATGCTGAACGCCGGCTCTGTCTGTTAAGATTTGCATCTATAAGTTTTAAGTCCTTTAATTTATTTATTCAAGTATGACATTTTGTGGATCATGTGTGTATTTAATAAGATCTAAGTATGTGTAGGCATGATAGTTCCTGAAGATATATATGATTAACTTATATGATTCCGGTAGACATAGCTCAACTGGTAGCGAGGGAGTGTCACAAGGGTTAGGTCCCGGGTTCGAATTCCGGCAATTGCGATGAGAGGTTACTATGCTAAAAATGCATAGGGCCTCTGTAAGTACCGGGGACGGAGCCCTACTCTCTATCTGTCAGATTGTGATTATAGTCCAATTTGTTTCACAATAGTCCAATTTACATCCCCCATCGTGCCGTCCGGTCGGTGTTGGGTGGTTCTCAGCGATATGTGTCATCCTTTTTTTATTAACTTATATGATATGATTTATTATGCTCAGTTTATGGGAATTGATTATGTTAGCGTTGTGCATATGATTTCGTTCCACTCAATTTAATTGAGCATGCAATTATTTTTGCTACACGTAGTGAATGTTATCTCGTAGAAGTCAGGCATAGAGTCAAGAGTCGGGGAAACTTGCTCACAGCTCACATATCTTGTTTTTATTTGAGCTTTGATATGCTTTATAAATAAATATACTTCTTGATCGATTTGATGAGTTGTGACCAACAAGTACTTTATATTTTATCTTTTTAATGTTACACTTTGGCAAATTGTTTTTTACTTACCTAAATATAACTCTTTTATTCTACATCGAGTTACTTACCCTATTTGGAATCCAAAATCCGTTACTATCTATCTCATTTGAGTCGATTTGGTTTGGGTTAACCAAACCCTCTTAATCAAGTGGGTGTTACAAACAAAAAGAACAAAGAGGGTAAGGAGAATTATTGTCACTAATTAATGGCTTACCATTCACTTCGCATCATTATTTCAGTAAATTCGGTAGTCATGACTCTTAAAAGGGTTGATGGTTTGGAGGTTTGTAGGTCTATTATCGCTAGGGCTATTATCGTCATTTTCATTAAGAGACGTGAGGAAGAGACAAGATCGAGAGAGGATAACATAAAAGTATCGGCGGTATCGATAAGATTATTGATGACATATTATTCACAAATTATTTAGGGTGTGAGGCGAGTGCCCCAAACTTGCGCATGCAATATATAGGGGTGTTTTTGGATCTATTTCTTAAAACTGATTCTGCTCCTTCAGGGAGCAGAAGCACAAGCAGGAGTGTTTGAGTGAAATTCCAGAAGCA